TATGAATTGCCAAAGGAGTTCCTGGTGACTATAAGCATTCGTCACGGACTCCTTGACAGCTTGCAGAAATTCACGCGGCAGCACTGCGGCTGCACCAACAAAGGTCTTCCCATTGTCCGACTGAACTTGTCGAGGGCACCCTCTTCGCGAGACGAATCGTGCGAATTCTGCAAGAAATTTCTCTGTTGTGAGGTCAGAAGTAGGCTCTAAATGGATGGCCTTCGTGGAGAAACATACAAACACCAACACATAGCCCTTGGTAATCAGGCAGGCTCTCCCGGTGTAGTTCTTTATGTCAAACGGTCCGGCATAATCCATGCCTGTGTACGTAAAACTCCGCGAAAAGGACGTTCTTTCTTTCGGTAACTCGCCCATGAGTTGAGTCTGCAACTTCTTTTTGTGGATCACACAGATTTTGCAGGAGAAAATTACTGACTTGACTAAGTTCTTGACCCTTGGTATCCAGAATTTTGAGCGGATCAGGCGTACCATTAGCTGATTACCGCCGTGCAAGGATATGCGATGCGTAAAGGATACAAGGAGACGCGCCAACTGACAGTTGTATGGAAGAAAGATCGGATGCCGTTCATCATATTAGAGGACTTCGGAGGATCAAGGAAAGGCTTTATGTTCTTAATAGAACTGGATGCTGGAATTGGCCGCTTTTGGCTCAGGCAGGCATATTCCAGCGCAAAGTATCTGCGTTGGGTCATGAAAATTAGGAGTCGCTCAGCTGTGGAAATCTCTGTATTGGAAAGCTGCAGCTCGCCTGGAATAGGTCGTTTTTGCGAGCGCTGGATGAAGCGCTGAACATAGCCGAAAAATCGTAGTGCCTCGTCGAGCTTGGAGAACCGCTCAAGCATGTCCTGCTCCGGACATGCTAAATGGCAACGAATGGGTCGCTTCTCGATGTCGATGTCGGAAACTGGTTCGTAAGGTGCAGGCCAGGAGTCTTGTGGCTGATTTAGCCAGGAAGGCCCATGCCACCACAGCTCACTGGTAGCCAGCTCTTCAGCCGCTACTCCACGACTGGCTAGATCTGCTGGGTTGTGCTCGGAACGCACGTGAGACCACTGGCTGGCATCAGTATTTTGAGCTATTTCAGTGACTCTATTTGCGACGAAGGTTGTCCACTGACATGGTGGCTTGTTCAACCATGCCAGCACAATAGTGGAATCAGTCCATAGAAAAGATTCCGAAGACCGAAGAGAATCTGAGGCAGAAGTGCAGTCCACAAGTCTGCCAGAAGGACGGCTTCACACAGTTCTAGACGCGGGAGCGAGACGGTTTTTACCGGAGCGACTTTGGTCTTTGACGTTAGAAGATTTGATGAAATGATTCCATCACGCTGGATGCGAATGTAAATCGCTGCGCCATAAGCCTTTTGGGAAGCATCGCAGAAACCATGGATTTGGACTTGTACACCCGGTTGAAAATGTACCCAACGCCGGATGCGAACTTGGTGGAGAAAACTGTAGCTCCGAAGGAAATCATGCCAGCGATGTAGTAGTTCTGCAGCAAGAAACTCATCCCATTCGACGCTGACTAACCAGATATCCTGCATCAGGATTTTGGCCTGAACCACAAATGGGGAGAGACACCCAGCTGGATCGAACAATTTCGCGATTTGGGATAGGACGTCGCGTTTCGAATAGTTTGCCTGTATGGTGACCTCTGTTGGGACAAAATAGAACTCATCCGTCGTAGCGTTCCACCGTACTCCCAATGTCTTAGTGGTGCTGACCTCTTCGAGATCAAGAAAATCAGTCGAAAGTAGGTGCTCTTTAGGAAGTGCTTTAAGGAGTGCACGTTCATTCGATGTCCACTTGCGGAGAGGGAATCCAGCTGAGGTCAGAGCTGCTTGCAGCTCCTGAATGGCTAAAATAGCTTCAGCTTCTGTATGGGCTCCTGCTAGCACATCGTCGACATACATATAGTTTGAAATTATATGCGACGCCCGTGGATATTGGGCGTTGACATCGTCGGACAATAGTTGCAGTGTTCGTAGGGCCAGGAAAGGGGCACAATTCACTCCAAACGTGACCGTCTGAAGCTCGAAGTCGGATATATCCCCTTGTCCATTTCGAAAGAGAATTCTCTGAAACGGAGTGTGCTCTTGGTTTAGGAGAATTTGCCGATACATCTTGGTGATGTCGGCATTGAAAACGAATTTAAACGTCCGCCACTTCAGGATTTGAAGAGTGAGATCGGACTGCACTGGCCCTGGATACAGAATGTCATTAAGGCTGTTCCCATTGGAACAAGGACTGGATGCGTTGAAAACTACGCGAACTTTCGTGGTCGCACTTTCGGGCTTGAATACTGCGTGATGGGGTACATAGAAATTTATCTTGTCGGTATTCGGAGGCACCGGCTTCATATGGCCAAGATCGATATATTCTTGGATCACTGAGTCATAAGTGTTTTTGAGAGCGGGCTCCTACTTCAAGCCAGTCTCATTCCTCAGAAATTGTGCGAGTGCGGAACTCCTCGAATGCCCCAAGTCAATGTGCTCTGAATCCTTGAAGGGCAGGGATACTATATATTTCCCGTCGCAGGATCTGGTAGTTGTTCGGACGAAAAAGTCTTCACACAACTTGTCCGTCTCCTTTACCAGTCTGCATGGAAGGTCCTCCACCTCCCAAAATATTGTGAGAAGTGTTTCCATGTTTGCTTCGGACTCTATGGATATCTGTGTGGTAAAAGACGAAACCCTACTAGTGGTTGAAGACACTGGGCCGGTCAAAATCCACCCGAAAATGGTCTCTTGCACTAATAAAGACCCACATACGTTTTGCCTCCAGCCTGATAGCAGGACAGACGGAAGAATATCCGCACCAAGAAGAAGGTTTATCTGAGACGGCTGGAAAAACGACGGATCTGCCAATGGCATATTTGGCAGCCTATCAAGAATGCTTCGATCAATTGTGCTTGTCGGAAGATTGCCGGCCAGGTTCGGCAGCACAAACGCTGTCGTGTCGATCTTAAGCATAGGTTTGGTCGGAGTGCCCATCTGGAAATGACACATTTTTTGTGAGACACCGGAATTGGCTTGGTTCAGCTCTGTGACTCTTGTTGTTACGGCTTGAAATGGAAGTTTAATCCGGTTGGCAAGCCTCTCAGAAATGAAAGTGCCTTAGGAGCCTGAATCTATCAGGGCACGTGCTGGAAAATTCTCTCCTCGGTGGCACACATGAACTATGGCCGTACCTAGAAGTACTCCCTGCTGGTTGGAGGCGAAATGAACCGAAGTGTTCGAGATGGGCTGCTCAGGAGGGTGAGCCGGCGCTATGCTAACAGCATTAGACGGACTGTCTTTATGCAACAGCGTATTATGCCGTCCCCTGCATGTGAAGGAACTATGCCTGCTCGTGCATTCACGAAGATTATGTCCCCTCGCAAAGCAGTTAAGGTACAATCTCTTTTGTTAAATATATGATGCTCTTTGTGGTTGAGTCGTCTGGAGAAAGCGAGGACAAAGCCGAACTGGATAAGGCTCTCTGGAGCAGAGATCACAAAATCGTGCGCGTGGCCCGACTTGTGTCTCGAAGGTGTTTACCCTCCTTGACTGTGCACTTCTGGGCTCCCTTGAATGCTGTGTGCTGGAAGAATTGGGTCGGACATCCTCAATTGCTTCCAACGTGCGATATCTCTCCTCGAGAAATGAATTCATTTCTTCCCAGGCTGGGATTGCGGACTTATTGCTCAAGGACTGCTCCCATAATGAGAGAGTGACCTTCGGCAACTTGGAGGAGATTAGGAAAATTAAAAGGCAGTCCCAATTTTCCGTGGAAACTTGTGAATGCTCAAGGGCTATTAAGCACCCTTGGATTGTGCTCTGAAGATCTTTCAAGGCCGTGCCTGATTCACTGCCTATGGTCGTAAGACTAAACAGGATTTTTAGTTGGCTGTTTACCAACAATCGCTTGTTCTGAAAGCGATCGATCATTAGTCAGTGGAGATTTAGAAACAATGGCGTGAGCTTCGCCGCTAGTTTTTGCGTTTAAGTGGAAAAGCTTTTCCACTGGAGTTAATCTTGAATTATTTACATAAATGGCAGCGAGAGAGAGTGTAACCTGCTCTCTCAGAGAGCGTAACTCAACGATAGTGTGACCAGATCATAATTACGTTAACTTGCCTGCTACATGTTTAAGTATACAACTGTTATATATTTCCTTTTATTTTTTCTATTAGTTTAAAGAGCATGGCTGGATTCTTGATCCAATTGCAAACTGCAAGGGTATACAAACTTCGGCGTGCCGAAATTAGCTATCTTTCTTGTTTACTGAATGTGTTCCGTCATAATGTCCGTCAACATCGAATTAGCCTCCTTGGTTTTCTAGAGAGTTGAGTCACCTTAAAAGCCAAAAATCAAGGCCGTATGCTTAATTCAAACGAAATGGTTCTCAATCTGCACTAGCCAGCTAATAAACGGCTATGTCAAGATTTACCGTGTTGAACGCGCAGTGTTACAAAAATTATTTGACTCATCCCAAAACTTTTCAAAGACGTCATTAGTCAGCCACATTCTTAATGATCCAGTTGAAACTGCAAATTTTGTGTTGACGTTCGCTTCCTTTCTCGGTAAGACCTTATGTGTTCTATGCTAGTTCAACGTCCAGACCAGCTGTCTGTACAAGCTTTCAGACTCACATTGAAGTGTCACTTAGTCAAAGCATCCTAGGACTGCGTTTGGTTTAATCTTTAAACTGGAGTCAAATACAATTAATAGCAAGATATTAGGGAAAGGTTTCTATCTCTGACATATAAATGCTTTATTCTTTCTAAAATCCCTACTATGTTTTGAACCCATTCAATTTAAGAAATGGTTTGGTTTTTATTTAGTAACTTTTCTTAGCTCGCTGTTTTTGCGATTGTACACTTAAAGGGAAACGGGATCCATTCGTTCCAGTTCGAATTCGAGAATTATTACATTAATATCTATTCTATATGTTCAAATTATTTATAAATGAAATATATACAACTTTTTCATTCAATAGTTTGAGTATACCTTTTCACTAAATGTGATGGCTGTGGAAGGTTCTGGCAAAGTTATTGGATTTTTGGATAATACCATCGTTTATGCAGAGTTAGCTATAAATGTTATACATTTTAAACTTCACCTGCACGATTTTCGTATAATGGAATTCAGGTATGTGTACAAATTTTGTATATCCTATTTGCCAACAATCACCCAGTTATACGGCGCTGAAGCTAATATTATATTAACACGACCATTTTCAATTTTTATTTTTATAACATGTTGAATTATTATTAACTTTTAGATATTTTGTTTTGATCAAATTATAAAATTATGAAAACAATTATTATTAAATAACTAAAGATTTTTAAAACATGATTAACATTTTGTCAAGTTATTCAGACCTGCTCCGGTAATCGAAATCGACAAATTTGTTCGTCTTTGTTTTTGAAATTGAAAAATCGGTGCTCCGGTTTTCGAAATCGTAAGATTTTTTCGATTTGTAAAACGGGCTCCTTTGTCTGGTCGAAATGAAATGTATATGGCTCTTTATACTCTTGCAGGGTATTATAATTTCAGTCAGAAGTTGCACCGCAGTGAAGAAGACATTTCTGACCATATAAAATGTTTATTAATTGAGTCGAATAAATTCACACAAGATTAGGTTTACGTCTTTATTCAATTGATCTCAGCTTAAGACTAAATTCTTGTGACAAAAATATATATTGTGCTGCTCTTGCATATTTTGGGAGCGAGATTGCCCGATTGGGATATTGGTTGTATACAATATTTTAATAGCATGAGTGCCGCGCATTGAGGGCACTTAGTGATTCTAAAAATTGTTTTTTGTTATTGAAGAGCGGCATCGCCTGCTCTGGATGTAGATTGCTTACATTGGTTCAGCGTGGAATCGCCTACGCTGTATATTCTTATTTCTTAGATATGTGAATATGTCACTTTCCTCCCCTTAAAAAGGCTTGCCTATGCTTGGCCTGGCATTTCAGGGTACAATGCAGGCAACTCGATTTGTGCCGGCTCTATTTCTTGTTGTGGTTCTTGATTATTTTTTGCTTGCTTTCCAAGTTATGTATATAAAAAGGTGATTGGCTTTGGTGTACAAATTTTTGATAGGATAAGGAAAATAATAAGAACAATGACTACAAATAGTATAATTACATAAAGTGTGGTATTATTTTCTGAAATTAGTTGTAAAACGTCATTACGTTCTACTGTTTTTATCTTAGTTACATTAATCGGTGAATACAATAGAGTTAAATCAAATTCTGGACTTAACGAATTTTCGCTTAAAATAACATTTCCAATCACAACTTTACATTGTTTTATTCTAATAATTTTGTTTCCGCTTATTTTTATATCGCCATTTTAATCTTGATAATTTTTTACGATTTCGGTTTCAGTTAGATTAAATGTAAATATGATATAATATTTGCTTTAACATATTGGATAATTTCTTTTAAGACAGTTGGTTTAAAATTACAAATTGGGTTCTGTCGCTTAATTATTTTTTTAATGCATTCGTTATTAATTTTTTTATTGTCTTGATAAATTTTATTATCATTTTCAAAATATGATTGTTGATCTGAATAGTCTAACTGATACCCATTATGGTCGGGATAAGGAATTATTTTAATGGTGTTGTTGATTTTGTTGCTAAAAGGGATATGTGAAACAGGTAGTGATTCGTTATTTTTGTGGTCAATCCAAGTTGATGTTTTAATTAAAAGTATGTTTTGACTGTTAATGCTTTATAGTTTTTCGTAATTTAATAACTTTGGGTTAAAAAGTCGAGACGTAAAAGCTGCATGCCCATTTCTATGTCTTCAATGTACTCAATAAATTGCATGAGTTCATAAACAAGTGTATCAATACTATTGCGGCTATTTTGGTAGTTGGTAAGTTTTTGCAGTCCTTCATTCACAAAATTTACTGCATCATTTAATTTATGAAGTTGAATTGAATTTTCTGCAATTAGATCTATTTTGTTATTATTTTTTTTTTTTTTGTACATTTTTACCCTATCATTTTCATCAAGTGTGCCAAAAAGAAATTTAAAAGATGAGCCTATTATGTCAAATAGTCCACGTTTCTGCCTATTTTTCTGATGAATAGTTCTACTGTTCAATTCTTTCAATAGTTTATTGTACAAATATTTCATTCTAGGTGAATCTGTGACTTTGTTACCAAAAGATTTAGTGATGATATTGATTTCCGTTATGATATTGATTTCAGTTAAATTAATTCTTAGACAGTGATGTTCATACACTACCGGTATGGATTAGAATGCTTGAGAAGAGTAAATAGCCAATGTCGGAATCTGGGTTGGTTATTTGAATTTGTTGAGTGTTGAAGGTGGTGAATAATAGAAACAACATCATTGTACTCAAGGTTCCTGTGGAAGTTTACCGGCATTAGTTTTTTTTTTCGTTTCTTAGATTGTGTTTTGTAGTATTGGGTTTCCCTATTTCGACTAGTAATTTCGTAATGGTCTTCGTCTATTTTTTCTACATTTTTATTTGCTTTAAGGGGGGACATCTGAGTAACTTTTTTTAAAAATCGCAAATTTTTTTTTTTTTTGCTTAAAAAAAATTTTAGAGTCTTAAAAATAACATATCAAAAGATAGAGTCCGGCAAAAGTTTCTAAGTGTCGAAATTTTCCATTCTGCGGCGATGCCTCACATGTAGTCATATACGATTTTAAAACTTTAAGGGGGTCTTCTCATTGGGCAACTTTTTTTTTCGATTTTTTTTTTGCATTTATTTATAGCTTGGGATGGTGTGTATATGTCCCCAAAAAGATTTTTAGAAATTCGAAATACTTTAGAAGATACAGCCTTTTTTGTGAAGCAAGATCTATGCAAAATGAGCTTTTTTCAAACTTCAAACGCGTTTATCTCGAAACCACGTTTTTCGAACTGGCGGCCATGATATCTCCAGTTCAACTCAACCGATTTTCATGAAACAAAGTGGAATCGACGCAGAATTGTCACCATTCTCGGGTGACGGAACAGATTTTTTTTTAATTTTTTAAAATATTTTTTTTTTTACACTAAACTACAAAAAAAAAGCCCGAAATCGAAATTTTTTTTTTTGAATAGCCGCCATTTTGTTTAAAAAAATTTAAAAAAAACCAATTAAGAATTTAAAAAAAAAAGCAACTTTTTTAGTTACTTTGAACATTTTTGAATACAATAAATAAAAAAAGTTTTCAATTATTTGCGTTTTCAAATAAGAATTTTTTTAAAAAGGGTCCAAAAAACGGCTTTTGAATGAGAAGACCCCCTTAAACGCGTTTTTCTCAAAACCACTTTTTTTGAGTTGGCCGAAAACATAACTCGAACAAATCTTAACCGATCGATCTGAAATTTTGACAGTATATCCAAAATACCTATGGCTATCGACGTACGTAGGATTTTTTTTTTGCTTACTTTTTTTTTTATCAACAATTTTGTGACGTTTTTTTTCATGAAAATTGAACATTTTATTTAATCACTCACCATTTTGCAAAAAATCAAAATATCGAAAAAATCCTACGTACGTCGATAGCGGTTGAGATATAGAAACTAACTAAATTTGATTTTTTGTTCTAGATCAAAAACTAAGGACGTTAGGTTTTCGGCCATGGACCCCTTTCAAAAAAATAGGGCCTACGAAGACATGCTGCACAGCCGCCATTTTGTTTTCGATTTATTAACAAAAAAATGTATTTTGTAGTTCACATCTAACATTATCAAACCTACTTTAAAATTTTTCGATTGGCTTTTTCATTTGGCCAAAAAAAATTCTAGAAAATGGGCTTTTTTTTTGCCAGTTACTCAGATGTCCCCCCTTAAGGCAAAAATCCTTCATCTGAACCCTCCCCGAGCGTGCGGCTGGGCAATGGGCACTATATTAGCCCGGACATGGGTAATGCATTGCTGCTTGCCCCGTCCGCGATAATACAGTGTCTAGCAAAGGCCACGGTTCAACTCCTTCTGCCCTAAAAACCCTGAGGAAGTGAGCCCTTAGCCATGGGTGGAGGTGCCTGGCGGAAGGCATAAAACGCAAGTGGGTGGTACCCCTGAAAAAGAAACCATTCTGGAGGGTTTAAAGGAAGAAACCAGGGCTGGGATGTCAGGCCAAACGTCGGTTGAAGGCGTGACCGCTACCAGCAGCGGGGCACGGGGGGGAGCAATCCTCTCTGCGTGTCGCCAGCGGTTACACCTCTGATGTGACGGGAGCAGGTCATGTCAGTTGCAACGCTACTGCCGAAAAAACTACGCAGGGGAAGTTGAGCCGCTCATGTGCCATAGTCGATTCAGACTCGGACCTTGAGAGCGTGCAGCTTCTCCATTCACCAAAACCAGCTCCCAGCGCAGGGACGGCCAAAGCGGTCAATCGAGGGAATGAAGGCCAAGGCGCTGTACAAGGCTGCCCTCCGCCTCCAGGATTGGCTCCAGGAAAAAGCCGTCCTATCCCCAGAGGAGAAGGCAAAGCTTACCTGGGCTGAGGGGAGGCTTCACTTCGTCAAACTCCCCCACATGAGATCGACTGGCGGATTCGCCAACAAGGTGGAGGAGACGCTTGCCAACAAAAGGCAACGCACCGGGGAGAAGGCGGCAACGCGGGCCTAAGGAGGCAGGCACTTCCCAAATGGTGAAAAAGCCCAAAAAAAAACCGCAAAAGTCTGTGAGGTGATCAAACGACACTTGATCGTGGCCCTCATTGACAGAAGCGATGAAGCCGGCAAAATGACCGAGGCGCAGTGGAAGATGGTGCATGCGCGGCTCATTGAGTCATTGTACGCACGGATGGAGGATGATCCCGAAGCTCCCATGCCCACCTTCGATGGCGCTGGGTGGCTAAATGGGGTCAAAATCCTAAAGTGCATGGATGACCCGACGAGAAAGTGGTTGACGCAACCGGTCTGCCAGTTGGAGGCGCCGTGGGAGGGAGCCAAGCTAGAGGTGGTGGACCGGGTGCTAATCCCATCCACTCCAAAAGCGAAGGTACTCTTCCCCAATTAATTATGTAACAAACACACTCACCGAGCGTTGTCCACCTTAACACGCTCTGTCTACTTTTTCTGCTCGGCAGGCTCAGGGAAAATGGGCGTGGGTTTTGTGTTGACATGAACAAGGGTGCTACATAACTAATATTGTAGACAGAGATAC